TTGATATCCGTGAGGCAGATTTTCATCCACCGACCCTGACTCTACACTCATGTTGTATACTGTCGTGCGATTCATTGTCATTGTTAGAGTATGGAATGAGTGATGGATGCTATCTAATTTAAATTTGGTCTATGAAGTGCACTCGTATATAAGCTGTCTAGGTATCACCAAGAGAGATAAATTATCAATTGATTCAATCCATTTTGTTTTATTTCTCCACAGTATATCACATATTCTCCCGATTCATATTATTATTATGGTATTCGTAAATCGCGCCCATGTTCTTTGAGCCGTCTTACTCATCGAATCCGTACCGATTTTCAACACTAAGCACAACCCCCTATCACCATTATCATGAAGCTAACCACGGTCAGATCAGATTTTGGGGATGAGGCCCTTCTCATCACTGACCCTTAATCATGGAGAAAAAGCCATCCGATAAGTTTCCGGAGCGTACCCACCACCCGATACGGAGATGGCGGATTGGATGAAGTCGACCTCGACTGTTACAACCAAGGGAGATGTAGATGAATATGCGCTCCTCATGTGGTCCTGGTGTCTAGGCCTCGCCTGGCTGCGGTTGCAGGTTTTTATAAACTTTTTCCCGCGCATGCAGTTTCCATTGCTACTATTTTTATTATTTTAGATGAAAGTCTCTGTGGAAAATGTGGCTAAATTGCTATTCATCACGGGTAATATATCAGTGACTTTACAATTAACAAAAGAGAATAGTTGCACTATAAAAGGTCTGGCCTGGGCCAGAGAGGAGCTCAAAGTGCTAGATAGTCTAAGACTCAAGTAGTATAATAAACATACCTCTCTCTCTCATGTATCATGGCCAGATTGGTGAATATATGTTTAGTGTATTTTTGAAACCAAAGTTGCTGACTCTGCAGATTTGCCTGCCCTGGTTTTAGCCCAGACGTTGGTTGATGCTAAGAATTCCTATGCAAGATCCAGTCTTTCATTCCTTGGCCTCTCTGCTTTTTCCATTGCCTCGGCAATAACCATCCGAATTTGGTCTAATGTAGCGTTGGGGGTTGCAGGCATTGATGGGGACGATGCGCCGGCATAAGTCATTGCACAGCTAAAGATATGGAACTAAATTACGCACTAAATCAAGGCAATTATTATGAGTATGTAAATTTAAAGCGATAATACTGGATACTTTGTTAAGGAGAGGTGGTTGGGATTCAGATAGTGCTTTGTAGTTCTATCTAGAAGAGATGAATGAATATCTATTCATGACGGGCACAAGCCTAGCACTCCTAGAGCATAACACAGAGAAGACTAGTCCTTCCAAGACCACTATATACTACAATAGCTCAGTTGGAAATTTGGATAATCATGTATTGGGTGCATTCGCTGAATACCACTAGAGACTTGGTGCTAGGGATTTTCACCCTTCCCTCAACCGTTAATATCCACCAAAGGGAAAACAGGAAAAACCTTTGGCTACCCTAACATGCCTTTGCCATCTTGTATATAGCCGCCACCCGAGATATGGCCTCACAGTCCTCCCTTTCTCGAGAGAGGTAGGTGTCCAGGCTACCCAGACTTTAATTCGGGGAGATGACGACCAGGAGGCGGACCAAAACAACTTCCATCGTTGCCTGTATTTAGAGTGTCGGTTGCACTTTCCGAAATCGTTGCTTCTGCACACACAGACAATCTTAAGTCGAAGACACTCGAACAATGTCCGTTCCAGCATGCTCATTTGAGACCTCTTCACTCGTTCGTCCCACATCCCAGCTGCCTGTCCTCCCTCAAGATGTGAAGCTCCATCAGAGCAACGGTCTCTCATAGACCAAGACCCGAGCTTTGTAGATTATGGTTTAATTTCCTCCTTGCGGGTATACATATCATAGTATATGTGTAATGGAAGATTGCCGGTTTTTTATAAGGCAAATATCCGATTGCAATTGGAGTAACGCCATTATCGGTATTTGAGGCGAGGTGGTGTAGTAAGAATGAGGTGGACGACTTGCGTGAGAAAGATGGGTCTGACATTGACGAAAAGTCACCGATTTTAGATAAACTTGAGATTTTTTTCGACTTCGATCCAGATTCAATTCTTCCTGGCTATCCAAGGCATGTAGAGTATCCTGAGCGATTACGCCTGCACCACCGGAAGGTGAAGAATTCGTCTTTCTCGGCTAGCAAAAGAGAGTGATGATCTTAATATTACACATTCTCTTAGGCGACAAAGCAAGCTAGAACCGATGCTCTAGGGGGTTTTTTCTTAAATCAAGGTGTTCTAGGGTATCTGGCTATCGAAAGAAAATAATATTGCTGTGTGGCTTTGTTTGGAAGGAGGCACTTGAGATCACATTTCGCGCGGAAAAAAGTCAATGGATGATAGAGGTGTGTCTGGATAACTCAAGGTTTTTGAGATGTTCCCCTGGAGGGGTATTCATGGATGAGGGTTGAACTGGGGTGAAGAAAAAGCCACCATGACTTCTCAGTAGTAAATGCAAATGGAATCCGAGGCATGAGTACTCTTCTTTTGTATCTAGTTATCTTTTCTGTAATGTTTCACTGATATTTTGTCATAGCTAGATAGCTGCATGCGCAATTAAAAACTGATGCAAAAATAAAATTGATTTTGTCTGAAACTGCCCACACATGTCTATTTTTTTTTTGCATCAGATTTTAATTGCGTATGCAGCTATCTCACACATGTCTAATATAGCTCTTGCCGTGGAGGGTAAGACTAAGCTCCTGTACGCGGTGCCCTCTGCGAACCTGAAAGTGAAATATTATCCTAGAGTCAAGTTTAGTCAAATTTCGCAATATCAAAGAAGTTGGCCCACGAGGCGATGATTCAAGATACGCCACCACGTTAATTAATCACTCTCATAGAGTTCAACTCCTATCTAATTCTCATTATTTCTACAAGCACGACCAAGTACATTCTTATTCCAATGACCAAATCCCTCTTCGACTTTCTCTGGCCTCGGTTGATCACCAAATGCACGCCCACTCGAATATTTATACTTACCGGAGGAAACAAGCCGTGGCACACAAATCTGCGAGACAGTTCTTTTGGATGGACGTGCGAGGGTTTAGGATAAGTTCACAGGATGACACGGAGGATGGATACAATCTTGAAAGACGAGATTTCGAATTTCTGAAAGGATTTTCACAAATTTTGCTTTGTACGCTCCAAGTTTTCGGTTGTAAGAGTGCAGACGACACTATAAACACTGCCATGATTGAATAGTCCGGCGATATATCATATGGGCCGGTCTCCCAAGTAGAGTCTAGATAGCTTGGACACATATCCTACTTGAGGCAGAAGATCTCTGGTTCGAATCCAGCAAAACGCAACCAATTTTTATCGCGACGCTGGCATACATGTAGGCGAAGAATGCTTGGAGAATCAAAGGTTTTGAAATTCCCTTTGGTGAGTCCTCATGGAGGAGGTTCAACTGTCTGTGTAAGCAAGCATATCTCATAGTGCTATTTGCATATGAAATCCAGGCTATGAATTTCTCTAACGTCAAAAGAGTCATCCAACATGTATACGTAGAAGCCATGTGTTACAGCTAAATAGCTTGACACATTAAATTATTCAAAAAAAAGCTCCACTCTCGCAAGCGAAGTTTTGGCGCGCACACAGAGCTCAATCTGTAAAACTCCTTGCCAAAATTCAGTGTTTCACGTCCGTCAAGTTCATATCAATCTATTGCATCATCTCGTGAACTTGTCCTTACTTCAACGTATTGTAGTAGCTAAAATAATATTATTATTCGGAAACTATAGCACTAACCCAGAACAAAGAGATGAATCAGCGTTTGCACGCTAGATCTAGAATGGCTAGCGAATATGGTGAATACGGGGGTAAATACATAGATATATAAAGACATTGTAGCCTCCAAATCTTAGCACAGTTCTTCAACAAATTGTATCGAAAATGCAATCTAGCCTCTCATTAACCAATCTCATAAATCATTTGCCTTGTTTGTGATAATAGACACAGACATACCAAATCGACATAGAACAAAGTTGAATACCACTTCACGAAATGGATCAGTTCCAAGATATTTTCCTCTCTCTCGTCTATAACCCAATTAAAGATATCATCGACCAATGTCACAAGCAATAAGGAACAAAAAATTGTTAAAGTCATAACCTAGATACTACAAATCAGACTAACCGGATAGCTCTTTTCAATTTTTTCAACCAATTATGTATATACGCCTGTAAAGTGGGAGCCAATAAAATTAAGATTCATTTGAGTAAATCATGCCATAAAATTAGGATACAAATCCAGTGTGATGATATTCCGCTAAATATACTTGATCGATTTATTAAAGCAACTGAATCAGAGTCTGAAGAACAAACTATCTTGAAAATAGCTATTGAAATTCTCATTGCCAATTTTATTGAACCTGTTAAACTCCTGACAAGTATACCCTTGTCATCGCTGAAGCCGTCTACAACAAATCTCTTACGAAGTATTTATGAAATTAAAAATTATGATCGGATTATCGCTTCTCTTACTGTCGAGCTGAGAAATGAACCTCAAGACAACGTCACCACTGACATCAAGAACATGTGGAAAGTGTTTTTCGAGGGGGAAAAATGGTCTCCTCAAACAAAGCGTAGTTGGAAATCTGATAAAGAGTATGATAAAAGTCTGGAACAAAAAAGCTATGAACAGAAAACGATCGAAGATCAAATATGGAGTTGGTTGAAAATGTTAAAGGAGAAATTTTTGAAAAGGATTCCAGTCTCTGGGGTGAGACTAATCACTGAAGTATCTGCTGTTGGTAGAAAGGATAAATTATATCCACTAAAGGGGTATTATTGTCGTGCAGTTGGTTCAGGATAGTTGACTGGTTCGGAAGTGCCGCGGTAACTCGACTTCCTGATAAAGCGTATTAACCTGTCTCTCGATGCAGCAACTGACTGGAAAGATATCGGCGTGATTGGTGAGTTGAGTGATAAATCCGTTAAAAATTAATGGAGAGAAAAGTTTGAACAACTTACCAGACATGCGTGGAGAATTTTCTGTTCGCAGTCGCGGCATGGATTTTTCCATGGATTTTATTTATATCATACAGAGCTTGAGCTGTGGTTGCTTGATCGCTTGGGCGCATGTAGCACGGGCTTCATAAGCATCAAAGATAGTCAGGAGTACTTAGTGCGAGCAGTTTTTTCCTATCTTCTCATGAGCAAGGATGATCTTGTTTTTCATAAAACTGTTAAGGAAAGTTATAGAAAACATTTTGTCAAGGTAAAGAGAGAGGGTTCCAGAAGCTCAAGAAAATTCTAAATCAACTCTGTGCCTATTATCCGACCGAATATAATGGTAACTCGCGGTACCACTTTGAAACGACAGAAAAGGTCAACATGATCAAGTATTTGCATAACAAGGACCCAAGCGATGCCGAAGTTAAACTTCTGAAAGATGCACAGGGGTAAGAGGGCGTTTTCAAATACTTCATGTCCGACAAGATGCGGCAGATAAATCACCTTCAAAAACTAGATATCTCGGGCGTTGTAGAATGGAGTTTAGCTGGCAAAAGTAAGTATATCTCCAAGGGCTCGAGGCCCTAGAAACCAATTCTCCAACCATTCAAAAGAGATCGCCACCTCGTCCGAGTGGTTGTCACACCAGGTGGCCATCCCCTTCATTGTAGTAGGACGATTCTTGAGTTTCTAGTCGTAATAGGAGACTACATCGTGGCTCACCGGCGTCTTTACATTGAAAAAAAGATTATTCACTGCGACATATCTGAGGGAAACATCGTCTCAATAAGTCCAAATGGGAACAATAGCTTACACAAAATGTTGATTCACTTTGATCATTCTATCTCACTCAATGACGATCTGTAAAAAGAGGACAATTGTTTACTGACAGGAACCATGAAGTTTATGGCGCTCGAAAAATTAAAACCGCAACTAGGCACACCCAATGATCCTAATCCCATGTACGAAGGAATGATAATGGCATTTAGCGATACAATAGAATAGAGTAAACTTGAAATAAATCTTCCACAATTTGAACTTGCTGCTCGTATTGGCCCGATCTTTGCCAACACGTTATCAATCTATGAAGATTTCAGATCACGAATAGAGCAACAACTATGGAGTAACGATAAAGCGTTCATGGGATAAATAGGACCGAGGTTTATATTAGCGATTCCCCGGAACTTCCATCAATATGGCCTAGAAGTGTTATAATCTGCCAAGAGATCCCAGCTCTATGCAGATTTACGCATGCCGGTATTTCAAGCAAGTCCAAGGATATGGAATTGAGGACAACCCATGTCTGGAGTATTTTAGATTTGGAATGGAATAGAATGTACTGTACTGTGCTGAGTACTGTATGAATTATGATACGAACATCTAGGACACGTATATCATGAGATATATTTCCTGACAGAAGTTGGAAGAAAATAATTCATATAATTATAAGCGTTCTTTAATCAATTCAAGTCTTCTTGATTTCCACGTTGGTTTTATACGAGCAGATATAATATCCCTCCAAGGTAGAGATTCAAACCGTTTGTCCTCATTGTCTTAACAAAAAGCTGTTTGGTGAGTGACTTGCTGTTTATTAAAATTATGTCAGTCATAGACGTGGAGATGCCAATGTGTGAATGAGTTTGTACTCTTTAACTCTAATTTTCTTGGGACCGGAACACGTGTTTCGACTATTAGATCTCATCACAAGTGTGACATAATTCATGTCTTTTGAGCTGAACATGATCTCAAGAGCGCTTTAAGATTGACTCATGTCAAATTTTGAAGGTATGAATATGTGAATGGCAATCCATTTATCGGTATCCGGATCTATTTTTATTGTATCAGATTTTAACTGCGTATGCAGCTATCTAGCTATGACAAAATATCAGAGAAACATTACAGAAAAGATAACTAGATACAAAAGAAGAGTACTCATGCCTCGGATTTCATTTGCAAGTACTACTGAGAAGTTATGGTGGCTTTTTCTTCACCCCAGTTCAGCCCTCATCCATGAATACCCCTCCAGGGGAACGACTCAAAAACCTTGGGTTATCCAGACATGCCTTCATCATCCATTGTATTTTCTTTGGGCAGAATGTGATCTTATATGTCTCCTTCCCAAGTAGAGTAGGTGCTCCGGCTGCTCAAACTATACTAAAAATCATCACCATGAGGAAAGTCACGACGCCATCCATCGTTGACTTGTGTTTATAGTGACAGCTGCACTCTCGCAAGAGAAGTCTTGGCGCGCACACTGAATATAATTTGTAAAACTCCTTACCAAATTTCAAAATTACACGTTCGTCGAGAATGTATCCATACTCTGTCTCATCTTGTGAACTTGTCCTGAATCCTCTCATACCCATCCCAAAGAACTGTCTCCCAGATTTGTGAGCCACGTTTTGATTCCTCCGGCGGTGTAAATATCGGCGTGGGCATGTATTTGGTGATCAGCTGAGGCCAGAAAATTTCGACGAGAGGTGTGGTCATTGGAATGAGGATATACTAGTCGTACTTGTAGACTTGACGAGGATAAGGCAGGAGTCGATCTCGTTGGGTGTGAAAATTTGATGTGGTGGAGTAATTTCAATCATTGGCTCGTGGGCCAACTTGTTCGATATTGCGAAATTTGACTGAACTTGGCTCTAGGAGAATATTTTACTCCAAGGTTCGTAAAGAATACCGCGTACAAGTGTTCAGTATTGCCTTCCCTCGCAATTGAATGCTTGGCGCGCACAACGCTCTTTAATTCGTAAAAATCCTTTCCAGAATTTGAAGCCCTCCATTTCGAGATTATATATGATCTTGTTATCATCCTGCCTATCTTTTCTGTTCTCACTCGTGTCAATCTTGTAAATCTGCCTAGCCATATGTAATTCTCACGGCTTTTCTCCTCCTGTTAGTATTCATGTTGCCGTGGACGTGTATGTAAAGGCCAGAAACCGAGTTGACGAGAGGTGCACTTATTGAAACTTAGATGTACAAGGCGGTATTTGCAGACTCGGTGATGCTTTGGCCGTAATCAATCCCTCCAATGATGAAAATTCCATGTGATAAGTAGCATTGAATGATTGCATCGTGGGCCTATTTTGTTATTCCAAAATTTGACAGAACTTAACTGTGTGAGAAGATTGAGCTACCAGGTTCGTAGAGAATAACGCAGATAGATATTAAAATCTCGACCGCCTGGTTCTACATCATGACTGCAAGGGAAGGAATGTGTGATTCAACGTTGAGACTTTAAACCTCGACATGAATTGGTTGATCGGAAACCGGAGCTGTTGCTAAATCAAGCCGGGTCAGATTCAAACACTCCTTATCGCGTTACGGACGAGTCGCTCCGCATGTCTGTTGACACAGCCGTGTGCATTCTACACGCGAGCGACATCGGACGACTGACCTACCATGCATAGAAACTTAAAGTGTTTATAAATTTTAAATTGGCGGTGCCGATACCATACTTATTTCCAAGTTATCAGCTGAAAATCTCAATACTAGCTACAGGGGTTCTGAGCTGTTCAGTACAGACCGTAGTCCAAACTCTTGTCCGCCAATGCCAAACCATGACTCAAATCTTAGATGCTACAGGTTCTTGGCATGGGGCAGGCTTACTCAGTCTCCCAACTATCACCTTATACTACAGCCAGATCTTGCGCGGGTGGCCACTTCAATATGCACTTTCTCTCAAACTATTTTTCCCAAAACAATCGGTCAACTGCTCTTCTTTCGTCACAAACCGTTGGTCAAATTCCACCCAATTTTTTTCGATTTTACCATTCATTATTTTTAGTACCCTCTGAATTCAAATTGTACCCCACCTCGGCAATCCTTGTGCGTTCAGACCGCAGTTTCCCATTGTATCTCAACAGTAAATTTTCAGAGTTATTGACGGACACCCGATGACATCGTCCAAATCTAAATGTAACTCCAAGCCTTCCAGCCTAGTATCTGGCGTTGGGCTTCAGAATGTGGCACGACGTACACTAGGTACAATCCTACTCTTAATTACTGTCGTATTATGGACCACCTCCAATTTTTTGGCCAGTGTGAGATCACTTCTAGTTGTTATTATCAAGGTGCAAACCATACTGACAAAAGAAGTTCATGTTTGCAGATAACAGCTACTCAAAACCATACTTCGTGACATACATTAACACAGCTTTCTTTGCCATATCTCTCATACCAATGTTGTTCAGATCACTACATAAGTACGGGTTGCACCACATGCGAGACTGTTTGAGCGAGCACTGGCAAACCTGTAGACATGGATATAAATCGATAAAAGACCGCTCAACAGACCAAGAGGAGGCCGAAGATGCCATTTCACCTTCAATTTCTCGTTTACGAGTTGATGACCAAGCTGGTCCGGCCTTAAGCATCTCAGAGGGGCTCGACTCACTTGAAGGTATGCTGAACTTTACCGAAACTGCTAAGCTCAGCTTAGAATTTTGTGGCTTGTGGTTTGCGGCAAACTACTTAGTCGCTGCCTGCTTAGAATATACGAGCGTTGCAAGCTCAACTATCTTAACGTCAACTAGCAGCATTTGGACCCTAGCATTTGGAGTAATAGCACATGTGGAAAAATTTTCATTTAAAAAATTGCTTGGAGTCGTTGCTTCATTATCAGGAATCATATTAATCTCAACCGTTGATCTCTCTGGAACAGACAATGATGAGAGCCGTGGCAAATTTCCCCACAAATCACATAGTGAAATTGCACTTGGAGATGCCATGGCATTTGCTAGCGCCATAATGTATGGCTTATATTGCGTCGTTATGAAGAAACGCATTGGAAACGAAGATCGTGTCGATATGCCTCTCTTTTTTGGGATGGTAGGGCTTTTTAACGTTCTATTTTTGTGGCCAGGATTTTTCTTTCTCCACTTTCTTGGGATTGAGACTTTTGAGCTACCACCCAGTGGAAAGATATGGACAATCATACTTGTAAGTATCAACCAAAACGCTACCATATTTTCAGATCTAACCGGTATACACAGTTGAATTCCTTATTTTCATTTGTCAGTGATTACTGCTGGGCGTATGCTATGTTGCTCACAACTCCACTGGTCGTAACTGTTGGCATCTCAATGACAATACCCCTTTCATTGATTGGACAAATGATTCTAAGTTCACAATATTCAAGCAGCCTCTACTGGATCGGAGCACTAATTGTTCTTTTCTCTTTCTTACTTATAAATCATGAAAGCAAGGAAAATGAAGAAGTATAGTCTACAGTTTACTAAAACTTCTCCAAACTTTCTAGCGTGCCCAAAATATAAGATTCATGATCTTGAAAGTCGGGTGCTCAGACAAAATCCAGTGTAATTATTTTCGCCTGCTTAACGAGATAGTCTGAATAAGCAATCACAATCAGCCACTAGAATTTTGTGAAAAAGCCCGAAATAGAGTTGAGGCAACTTGGCCATTCCCAAAAATATACTTGACGGAGAATCAAACTTGAAAAAAGTGAGTAGAAAGGCTTAAGCGCGTACCACGGGTAATGTTATAGGATTGGAACAAAAATTACGCAGAAAGAGAGCTACAAAATAAACCAATTCAATGCTGCCCTTAGATTCTGACTGATCAACTAAAGGTTGTATCTCAGATTGCGTCAGTTTGAGGTTAAATTTAATTTGAAATCAAATGTGAATGAAATGGGAAAAGCTTTTGGGAAAAAAAATGATCGAACCAGTTAGCTACAAACGAGTCATAGTATTTCGTTTTGCGTAACACTCCAAGTTCATTTTTTTCTGAGTTCTATGTCTGTAATATAGGCAAAGAATCTCTAAAGAAATGATCATATTTAATGTGGCGTGAAATATAAATCATATTTTGCAAACTTCAACGTGCTTTAAGCCCTTATCCATCTCAAGATAAAAGTTATCCTACAATTTCACGATCGCTAACAATCCACGTTCAGGTTTTGTATTCAAAGAATTAGTAGAATTGTCGGTCGGCAATATACTCTTGTACGCGCACGCAATGGGTCTCTCGATGGTGTGATGATTCATATTCTCAGATACAGGCGTGTCAGCCTTAAGGGCGACAAGCCAAGCTGCACCAATCAACATGACTAGCTACCTATCAACATATAGTACTGCTGTGCGCGGGCACGACGTTTAGTATTATAAATAAATAAATCAACATATTGTGATCTCTCCCATGACTTGTGTACATCCCAAAATGGTGTTGCGATAAGAAATTTATTAAAATTAGCGGCTTTCGCGTGTACGTCACATGAATATTCAAATCGTAAGACAAATTCTAGAATATGTGTGTGTTTTTATTGTACTACTTGAGTCTATGACTATCGAGCATATTGGGCTCCTCTCTGGCCCAGGCCACACCTTGTACAGCGCTCCTTGCCACTCATGTTTCTAAAAAGATCGTTGATATATTGCCCGTGATGAATAGCCATTCAGTTCGGTATTTACCCGTGGAATTCAGCCACTTTTTCCGCAGAACTTTTTACCCAAAAAAAAGAAAAAAATGGTAGCAATGGAAACTATGTGCCCGGGAAAAAGTCTCAAAAAACCTGCAGCCCCAGCCAGGCGAGGCCTAGACACCGGGACCACATGAGGTGCGCATATTCATCTATATCTACCTTCTTTGTAACAGTAGAGGCCGACTTCATCCAATCCACCATCTCCGTATCGGGTGCTGGGTACGATCCGGAAACTCATCGGATGGCTTTTCCACCATGATCACGGGTTGGTGACGAGAAGGGCTCCGACCCTACCATCTGATTTGATCGTGGTTAGCTTCATGATAATAGTGATAGGGGGTTCGTGCACAGGAATGAAGACGATACAGACGGCGAAAAAGATTGGGAATCCTGATTGAAGTGAGGAGAAGGACATGTGTTACCGGTGGTTTTTACTTTGACGATATAAATACATGGCAATTTTTCGCCGACAAAGTGACTGTTGCGGGCTAGGCAAGCTTGTTTGTGGCTATAGGGCCCATCCATATCTTGTAGGCGCAAGCGAGTTTGAAAATCTATTTACTATACGGGAGTATTCCAACATCTTCAATTGAAGACTACTCAATCATGCAGCACCCACCACTATCTTCTGAGTCCTCAACCTCTTTCTAACCATACATTATCTCACCCCAACGGCCGATAAACGCGTCACCCCAATTGCAGATAGGAGCTTGCTTCATTCATTACCGGCCATCACTCACTACAAATTTACGATGCTACGTATACCCTCGAGGAGGAAATTAAGTCATAATAAACAAAGTGGGGTCTTAGTTCATGAGGAACTGATGCTCTAATGGGGTTATACATCTTGAGGAGGTATAGGCGGCTGAGGTGTGGAACGAGGGGGGGAACAGGTCTCTGAAGTCCATGCCGAGACTGACATTTTCGACAGGTTTTCAACTTTGAATTTTTTGTGGGCGCCAAGACCAAGATTTTGGCCGATTAGCTAGGAGAGCTTTTTTAGTCGATGAGTCAACGGAACTTCCCAGCGCCCTGGACGGTACAAGTGAATTTGGGCCAAGCTACCATACAGCAATCAGGCTCTGTCAATACTTTTCTGACATTCCAGCACGACTTTTGGGAAGGATGGGAATGAGGCTAGAAAGGCAGAGGATGAATTTCCCGAGGTACCGACATATCTGCAACGCCCAGCTGGCCGGCCTCTTCGAACACTTCAGGAGGGTCACTATGTCTTCGGATGTAGTCCTAATGTCGGTACTAGAATAGCTCCGCACCCAGTGGTTTTTTGCGACTTTTCCCGGCTGCCACATACCCGTAAGCGGCCATCTTTTCGTTGGCTGGAGAGGGGAGATGATGAAGGGCAAATGGCACCTCTAAGTGTATGATCGAATGAGGACTTGCGAGGGGCGGTACTGTTTGAGGGGAGCTGTATGGGAGGCAAAGGAGGAGATATACTACCGGTATAGGTATCCTTGGCCTGTAGGCAGAGAGGACCTGCATGTCTTACACAGTCATAGATTCAGAAAGGACAATAAAGTAAAATTATGGGTGTATTTTCATATCACATGTAAAGGGCTGGGGGATCTGGAACAGGCATGGTGATGATAAAGGGCTGTAGCTTCCCGCTCCTAAATTCCTCATAGAAAATATAAGCACTTAGTTGTGGCATAGCTTTCGTGCACTGACCGAAAGTCCCAGGCCGTCACAGTGACCCATTTGAATTTGAAATCTTTTACGTGACAGGAAGAACTTAACATCTATTTAGACCTGACATGGGTAGACGTGACATGGGTAGACGTGACATGGGTAGATGGGCTCTGAAAGCTCATTGCTATCTACATGACCGGCAGTGGAGCCAGAAGCGACAAAAGAAAAGAATGAAAAAAAAGAACAGTATATATCTGAGTTACGGTGCCCTGCGCCGCATCCCTATCTTCCACACCAATCTCCTCTCGGGTCAGAAACTATCTCAGCGTGGTCACCTCCCACCCTGTTCATTCTTCGGCAGACTGTAACATCTGCTTGTAGTTGAGAATTGAATGAACTTCTGCCATCCCTTCTCCCCTATCATTTCCCTGGCCCCAGGTGGGGCCATTTTCTCATAGATTCTCCAACGTAGCAAAGCAGGTCGGCACTCTGAAAAATGCCAGGGCCTTTTCTCTCGGCCGCAAACGCATTTCAGATCTTCATATTCGGGGTTGAAACGTCGATGGTAGTCAGCATAGTCCCCGTGGCCTGTTCTTGCCGCAATAAGACGATGGTACGCCCATCTTGGTAAAGCTAGTTCCGGTGGTCTTTTGCAACGCATTAATAGGTCCAGATCTTTGTATCGTTTCGGTCGATACTTCTGCCACCACTCTTCCACGAGCTCTTGGCTACGCTGTTTAACCCACCTCCCTAATGCCGCAAATGTTAGATCTTGATCTTCTAGAATGGGCGCAGCTGAGGTTAGTGACCGGTTATTGGAAGCTCCAAAGGCTGATTTGGCCAGTTTATCGGCCTCTTCATTGCCTTGAATCCCTACATGCCCGGGTATCCAGCGTATTTCCACACGCTTATTGTGTCTCAGCGATGAAAACTTGTCCACCACCGACTGCGAGGAGTTAGATCTTTCTCTTTTGAGCACCTGAGTGGCCGCTTGGTTGTCCAGAAGAATGCAAATCAGTAAGTCGTCTCCTACCTCTATTGCAGCCTTCAAGGCTTTCATGGCACCTACAACTTCTGCGTCGAATACCTCTGCTCCGGGAAGTGGACCGGAGTCACTTGCAACTAGCTTGCCTCCTTGGTATACTACATACCCACAGGCTGATTTTCCGGGGCCCGATGATAATTCATCTGAGAAAGCATAGACCGTGTTAGCTGGACGGGAAGCTAATCATCGCTTTATGCTTCCAGATCTAGCTTCTATTTCTCGACTACATGGAATTGATATTGGAGTGCCACGTGGGAAGTATAGCTTTCCGGGGCCTTCGGCTATCGGAACTTGACGCACACTCACTTGTAGGCATCTCATGTACCGTTCTGAATGTCTGAACAAGCGATTTCTTTGTCCCGATCTAAGACCTAGGCGTCTTATTGTCTCTTACGGATCCTCAGCCGCCCGAATGGCTAGAGGGTGACAGGCATCCATTCTTCGCATACGAGCTGCCGACCGCAGCATCTTTTGCTGAAGAATTATCGATGCCGGGGGTATTCCCGCTTCACGATGAAGAGCACCATTGGGAGTGGTACACCACGCTGGGAGCTCTACTCTGATAGCTTTCATTATCGTTTTATCCAGTAGAGATAGATGCCAGCCTACTCCACTGCCGACTTCTTTATCTTGCAGTGAGGTTATTCGAGTTAGACCCGGCCACCACGCTTCTACCCAATATACAGCTGTGCTCTGAATACATGCATGTGCCCCACGAATCAAGAGTCTGGGTGCTGCACCGCATTGAACTCCATTTATATGTCGTAAGAAATGGACTGGACGATTAGCTTTTCCAGTCCATTCCTTTCCATGCTGCTTGAAGTTCAGCTGGGTATCAAGCCAGACTCCTAGCCACAAGATATGAGGTGATGGTTTGATCCGGCGATCTTTCACCAAGATGGAAAGATCAGCCGCGTTAATTTCCTTTCTAGGCCCTCCTCCGGTTACAAGAAGTTCTGACTTTGCTGGGTCAAAATCGATCCTGTGTTCTCTTGCGAGAAGGATAAGACTGTCGAGGTGGTCTTGAGTTGCGGAGATAGCATCCGCCGCGGTGTTTTCAATTCTGACAATAGCTACATCGTCAGCATAACCAAACCTGCTTGTTAGACCATGATCCTCAAAAAGCACAGAGATGTAGAGCATGAAAATAAGTGGCGATAGTGGCGAGCCCAGAGGTACTCCACATTCCAGTATCTTCTCTTCTGTGATTCCACCGCGGTATTTGAGCTGAACCTTTTGTTGGCAAAGAAATGTCTGAATAAACCGGCATAGGGATCGTGGCCAGCGTTTTTCTCGAAGGCGTTTGAGCAGTCGGTTGTGAAGGACTGCATCAAATGCACCTTGAATGTCGAGTGTGACCATAGCCGCACACTTACCACTTCTTATGGCCGCCTCAGCATCATGAATTACACAGCATGCAAGGTCGACTGCAGATCGTCCTGGTACGGAGCCGAATAGTTGTGGGTGAACAACTTGGTAACTTATCGTCAGCCATGCCATTCTCTTACCAACTAGAAGCTCAAGTCCTTTGCCTAAACTCGACAACAGCGAGATTGGTCGCCAACCCTTGGCAGTTGACAGATTTCTACCCGGCTTTGGAAGAAGCACAACTTCTGCCACCCTGAAGGCCGTGGGAAAGTAGCCGATTTTCAGACAAGCCTGGTAAAGATCTTTCACGAGAGGTCCTAGATGGGAACAACAGGCTTTCAGTAACCGTACCGTTATCTTGTCCGCTCCCGGTGCCGTATCGTTGACAGATACAGTGGCGCTTGTCACATCGTCCAGTGATAATTCCGTATCCCATGGAATACGCTCCTCCTGTCCATTCTCCCAGATAGAGATGTCGTTCTCGCCGCTAAACTTAGCCAAGATAATGTCTCGTAGCGCACTAGCTCGCTCTCGCGGGTCAGATAGCCACTGGTTTTCGTCAATCTGCAGGGGAGGGGGCTCAGTAGCTGGTCGAGGCTTAGCCCATCTCATGAGTTTGAATACCTGTGCGTCAGTAGTCACTGCCTCTACATGCCTCTTCCAGTACTCTCGCTTGGCTTTTCGCACCACGGCTCTAAAGCTCTTGCGGACCTCTTTCGCGAGGTCCGGGTTGTCTCTCGCTGCCTTGTACTCTTGCCATTTTATGCGGCATTCATTGGTTAACCATAGCCCAGTTTTTCCGATTTCAATGGCTGGGACTTTCCCTGCAATCTTGAGCGCATCTCCAAGTGCTTGTAGGAGATCATTTGTGAAGTTTTCGGCGTTAAAGACACTGTCGAGAGGGCCAGATTTGGTCCATTGGCTAACGCATGGGCTAAATTCTTTCAAGTTGGCGTCGCTGACACGAATGTTCTTTACAATTCCAGAAAGATCTGACACTGTAGGGTTAACCACGGTACCTTCGATGGTCGAGTGATCTGAGGTACAGTGGTAGTGGTTGGACACTGATGCTATAGCGGCCGTGTTGCTCTACGTTAGATCTAGGACGTTCCCATCCCTGTGCGTTGGCTCTCCAACAATGCTAACTAGGTCCATGTCGTGGGCTGTTGCCCATTGCATAATCTGGTTACCATTGCCGTACTGATTTGTTGTTTGCGGTTGCCAATGCTGTGACATAGAATTGAAATCGCCTCCAACAACCACTAAACCTCTAACTTCCCACCGGAGTAGGGGCTCCAAGGTTCCACTAGTGCCTGGGGCACGGTATACGTTGACAAAGGTTAGGCTGCCCATCTTTACAAAACAGTAGTCAGATGTCGGGCCTGACAATGGTGGAAATAGTTGAGTCGCATGACTACCTTTGCGCGTGAAAGTAATCGCGCGGGGCCGGATGTCTGTTCCTCCGAATGGTATATGGCTATTGTAGCCAGGGTGACTTTTTGTTATAAAGCCCCCCTCTTTCTTTCTTGTCCATGGTTCCTGTACCATGACTACATGTGCACCGGCATCCCATGCCTGCTGCAATGCTATTTCCATGTTTTCCCCACCTCTTCCGACATTCACTTGTTCAAAGTGGACGGTGTTGTACTTATCTTTTGGTGCTTTTGTTGAGGGGTTTCCTAACATTAACACGACATTGTTGAGTCCTGGGCAATGAAGGTTTCAACCGCCTTACCCTTCTTTTCTGAGTCCGCTAGAGCAGCGTGATAATCACGATGTCCGCGTTCTCTGATGATGTAAAGTTCTGCCGGGGTACGGGGCAGAATTATCCCGTTTTGTCGTTTTGGCCAGGCCATACAGCTGCCCTCATTTGAATGATGAGGTCCCGCGCGATTTAAGCACTTTGACACCTTTGCCTGGCACTCTGATGTCTCATGGGTTCCCCCACATCTCCCACATCGTTGGCTCCGAGTACAGGAACGCGTTGTGTGGAATCCCCAGCAACGTTGGCATTGCTGGATTGGTCTTCGGCGCGAGAAGGGAATTGCTGGTCCTCTCTTGTCAAAGAGACGAAACTTTGTGTTTGCTGGCTTTTGTTGGAAATGAACAATCCAGCTCGTTGAGTATTGTCCAAGCTTTGTTTCTGTGGGCCTTACCTGGATTGGTGTGGCGCCGCATACAGCCTGGCACTCGTTCTTCACCATATCGTTGGTGACTGGGATGCTGCCTTCAAGCGTCCTAATGTACAATGGCACATAAGGTACGATCAATGATGTCCATTTGGACGCTTCCTCAATCACGGTCTTGTCTTCCTGTAGGGAAGGTGCAGTTCTCATGATTTTATCTCTCAATGCATCTGATGCGCATTCGAGAGCGATCCCAGACCTGACTGGGTACATGGAGGTGATAGTTGAGGCTGCTATCCCAGCCTTGTCGGTTATAATTTTCTTGATCGTAACTGGCGAGAGCTTGTGCCAGTGATGATCTCTCCCCAATCGAAGGAACAGGCGTTTGTCCCCCTTTTGGGTTGTCTGTGGTTTGGGTTGTCTGTGGTTTCGGGTTGCTTGATGGAGCAGGCCTTCGCGGAACTTGCACGTTTGGCGGCGTCGGTAGTTTAGCCGCTTTGCGGGCTACTATCACCCAGGGCGAGCTGGTATCTTGAGGCTTTGGGGGTAGAGCGTGGCTGTGATCCTCAACAGCTGTATTTTTCCTAGGCGCGACTGGTTTTGGAGTGCTTGCCATGGTGGGGGACTTCTTACTTGGAAAGTTAGATGCTTCTACCTGATCTACTGCGAAGGCAGTGATAACAGGCGTGATGTTTTCCGGCAGAGTTGCGACAACTGCTGCTGCTTGTTTCTCTCCTTTGCCCTTAGCCCAGGAGTCGATTAGTTCTAGAAATTCCTGAGCTATATCCAGTCTTCCTTTCCGTTGTTGTTCTGCTTTTTGCATTGTATTCACAATACCAAGCAGGCTTGGGTGAAGTTGCCCTCCTGGATTCGAGGGCGTTGTCGATGACGATGCAACAGCTGGGGCCGTCGCACCGATTGAAGATTCTTGTAAATAAGGGTATTGGGTAATGCGATGTATAATGGTGATGATGATCACAGTGACCCATTGTTTTGCACACGATAATTATAATTTCACAAGTGTATTATCACTGAGTTGGGTAGTACCTTCGATGAAGACCATATAGGGCTATCATTTCAACAAAGTGCATAATAAAATAAGTCAAATATCATGAATACTAGCCTTGAAAAGTTAAAGTATAGTAATTATTATAGGATAAACTTATCCTTGTGGAATAGATTCTTGTTATCTCGATATAATTTCTCACTTTACAGCTACTGGATATTCACTTGATGTAAAGTTTAATCAACTTCAGCGATTAATTTTTATGACATGTGACTTGTCTAATTTGATATCTTGTGCTATTTGTACCCATATAGTTTCTATGCATTTTTAGTCCATGAACTCTGGTAAGTAAGTTTTAATCTCACGTTTGCCGTAGATAGATTCCTTAACTTGGTGTTCATCTATCTGTCCGTTAAAAAGCTATAGATATCATCACAAAGCTGCATAAATTTCTCGGAAAAAGTTATCAACATCGGTTCTTAAGTAAAGATTCAGTCGAATAAATTTAGAAAGTCTTTTAGGTTTAGACTACTTAGTTGAACGATTTGGACGCTTTAATTGTTGTCCGCGTGAAGGCCCCATTTAATACGCGACTGACAATCTATCGTTTAGTCCATAACTCACCAAGAACGAGCGCACTAAGGGATTTATATGGAGAAACTCTTACATTTGAATCGTGACACAGCAAAATTTCGTCTCGTAACAATCCAATAGGCACACGTCGCTAGTTTGTATCGCTTGGCCGGATATCTTGTACAATGGGTATAGCTACTTGCTACACGCTTGTTTTTTATCAATTACAAGAGATTGTTAGCGAAGACTTAATCACTTTTTTTACAGAGGGATTGCCTTCTGTTTTCTCAGTCATCACTTCAAAAGATACTGATTTCTTTGTGATCTATCAATTCAAGAGAATTTATCTCAAGTGTTTTTAAAACATATGATGTGCTGTTTCAACTTACAATTCACTTTTCTATTTTTTCAGTGCGTGATAAGAATCGGCCCTTGAAATCTTTTATGCGGTACCTTTAGTACGGAGCAAAAATCTGCCAAACCTAACTTAGAAGAGGCTTGATACTTTTAGAAAAGTAAGTGTTCAGTCGTCTCGAAGGATTCGGTTGCACGATTGAGGTGCGTCTGTAGCATTCCATATGATCACAATCTTTTGTGACAATGATACGGCTGAATTTTATCAAGTTAATATCTCAATTGTATGATTAATCTGATAATTCTTCATCAGGCCGCGTTTCTCTGCTTTCCTCGATGGACGTTTTATCAAGACTATCGTCAATATCTTGACCATCTGTTCTGGACCCGGAGCTGATAGCAGCTATTCTCTCATACTCTTGCCGTTCCCGTAGCGCTTCGGTTTCTTTGTATAGCTGATTCATGTTTAACGCCTCGGAATTATCATCGCCATCATCAGCGCTCGCATCCCAATCTCCTTTCTCGAACAAGGCACGGCCGGTAGCTTCTTTAGCAAGACGCGCCTGCTCTTCTGCTGCCTTTTTATCCATGCGCTCGGCCTTCCATTTTGCAAATGACTCAGGTGTCACGGGTGTGAGTTTTCCGGTCAGCTTATGCCGCTCTGATTCAAGAAAATCTTCCAGGGTAAGTGTTTTTAGAGGTGATTTGTCCATGAGTTCTTTCTCTGCTGCCCGTTGCTCCTTTGTTTTTAGTATAAAACTATCAAAATTAGTGACTTGTAAGAAGATATGAACATGAGGGCACTTACTCGGGAGGTAGTTTGTGTTGATACATGCACTTGTCTCCGCCGTTTGGACAAGTCCAGAACCATCCATACTTTCCTTCCTCCACTGCATCAATGAAAAATTTGCAGACCTTCTCTGTGGTAGTCTTTTGATTGCCCTTCTTAGATAGAACAACAGATCTAAGCTTTTCTTCATCCCAGTCGTCAGAGGTCTCTGTTTTTTTCTTTGTATCATCTTCATCTCTAGTATCTTGATATAAATCTTTTTTCTCTGATTTCCGTTGAATGTTGAGGTCGTGTGAAAATTTACATTTCCTACCCTTTTCGCAATGGCCTTTCTTAAAAAACTGACAGAGAACAGTCTTCGGATCTACACCGAAGGGAACCTTTTGAATCTGTAAAGGCTTAAAGAGTTCAGCGGCTTCTTTCTTTGCTGCCTCAGATGCTGCCTTTTCTTTCTCTTTTTGTGCTTTCTCGGCAGCTCTCTTTTTCTCCTCTGGAGTACCGCCAGCTTTTGCAGATTGTGTCATCTGGGCAATTTGCTTTTGAGACTGTGCACCTTTTTTGTTCTTCATACCAAAGGTTCTATCTTCCACGATCTTTGTGGCAGAAGGTTTCTTTCCTCCACCCTGTTTTTCGACTTTTTTTGGAGGCATTTTCAAGAGGTTATGAACTTGCTTTAAGTTTTTTGGCTGTTTGTATCTTTTCGGGCAGTTAGATTATTTGCGGCCTGCTGGTTATGAAATTTATTCCTAAGTTATATTGGTTAGGTTCTCGGGCTATAGTCGGGTCCGTACGGGGGGCATCAATAATCATGAAGAAGTCAGTGAGTGGCTGGATAAGCGAACGGGTTCTGACTACCTCAAGTGCTTGATAAAACCCGCCTACTGTAACCAGGACCAATAGCACTTATTATGATCATACAAGAGCTTAAAATCCCAAAAGTCACTTTTCTAATTTTCTGTTACGTTTGTAGGTTGTTTCATAGGGTTTGAAGACTGATTCTAACAATTCAGGACCAACTACTAAATTACAATCAAGCCTTGAAACAGTAATCATCAAATCTAGGTTCGCAATGATCTCAGACAGTGATCTTTACAGGCTTGCCATATTTCTGGGATCAGCTGCCATGCTTCTGATAATTCTATATCATTTCTTGGAGGTGAACGCAGAGAAAGAATCAATGCAGAAAGAAAAGCCAACCTTAACTTCGAAAAACCTTGATGAAACTGTGACAAAGAAGCCACAAAATAAAGTCAATGGGAATATTAAAGCTTAAAGCCTAGTCATTGGAATACCTAGAAATCTTATAACCTGAACGAATTAAACTAGAATCATCAAAAAGCTTTAATTTTTATCTGGAAATTATTAATTAGACATTCGCAATCATTAAATCACCCAGTTGAAGAATTTTTTATATCATCTTCTATACTCGAAAATTTATTCTGCAGTTGGTGCATAGCCAGCTCATAAGGTTTATTTAACGTATAAAATTAATCAGGCACGTCACTCGATTCTCGAATGGAAACCAATTAAGGTCATTAAGTTACCATAAATCGTATTCCACCAAAAGTTTTTCAGGCGTTACGCTGGCGTACTGGACGATAATAGTTAAATATTTTGGCAGCAAGTATCGAACTATTTAGGTAATGCCAAAGAAATGTATCAAAATAGGCATAATGACTCCATAGCCAACCAATAATATCAATCCTGCATACGTGTGGAACTCTTTCATGTTGTAACTTATTTTAAGGTAAGTTACATAGTATAAGACTTGAAAATCTTGACATACTGGTATCCATCTTATGATATGAGCCTTTGTCCATATAACTAAATATTTATTATTCGGCTTTACAGCCATCAGGTCCAAAGTGAATTCAACTTTCAATTTATAACTTATCCAACAAAAATTTTTAATTAAACTTTCTCTGCGGTTTTTTAGGATTTGGTGTAGAATCCAGTCTGGTCCAACTCCATTATGACTTCATCAAATACTCCCATAGTGGTTTCCTTCATTTTCAAGACACGTTTTTATCTTGTAGTACATAAAGTAAATATTTTGCTTCATTATTTCAGGGAATAACAGGGAACCGTTGCGGTATCATATAATTCCTCATTACCCTGTTCATTATTTAATGGCCCGCGTTCGTACTAAATACCATTGCTAGTATAATTATATGGTTTGTGAATCGACGTGCTTAGTAATTGGATCGCTCTGCACACCTGAGGTACTTGAGAACGAGTGGATATCCAAAAGGGTCTCCAATTATCATGGACGAGGTTTGGACAGCGATCCACGGCGTGGGAAACAATGCCCAGCGATATATGTGGCTAAGGTGTAGACCTTTTTTTTTTCTTTTTTTTAAATCATTTAATGTGTATTCAGCTATCTAGCTATGACACATGACCGGCGCTATGTATACATGTGGGATGACTCTTTTGACGTTAGAGACACTCATACTCTGGATTTCATTTGCAAATACCACTATGAGGTATGTTTGCTTACACAAACAGTCGACCCTCCTCCGTTAGTACCCACCAAATGGAATTTAAAAACCTTTAGTTATCCAAGCATGCCTTCGTCATCCATGCATACCAGCGCCGCGAGAAATGTGGTTGTGTTTTGCCGGATTCGAACCAGCGATCTACTGTCTCAAGTGGGATATGTGTCCAAGCTATCCAGACTCTACTTGGCAGACCGGCCAAGATGATGTACCACCGCACCATCCAACCATGGCAGTTTTTATAGTGTCGCCTGCACTCTCGCAGCCGAAGACTTGGCACGCACAAAGCTCAATTTGTAAAAACTCCTTTCCAAAATTCAAAATTTCACGCCCGTCGAGACTGTATCCAATCCTCTGCATCATCTTTTTAACTTGTCCTGATCCCTCTCACATCCATCCCAAGGAATTGTCTTCCAGATTTGTGCGCCACGCTTTGCCTCCTCCGTCGGGTGTAAATATCGGCGTGGGCGTGTATCTGGCGACCAGCTAAGGCCAGAGAAAGTCGACAAGAGGTGTGGTCATTGGTATTAGGATGTACTAGGTCGTACTTGTAAACTTGATGAGTTTTAGGTAGGAATCGATTTCGTTGGAAGTGAAAGATTGATATGGTGTAGTAATTTGAATCATTGCCTCGTAGGCCAACTTGTTCGGTATTGCGAAGTTTGACTGAACTTGGCTCTGGGAGAATATTTCACTCCCAGGTTCGTAGAGGACACCGCGTACAGGTGTTCAGTCTTGCCCTCCAAGGTGTAGACCAATAATGGGACAAATAGATAACAGGTCTATTCTGGGGGGGGCTGACTCGGCAAATTGTCCTCAAATAGATTTCACGTTGGTTTTACTACAGAATAGCTATAAAACATACAGATAATGTCGCGAAAGAAATAATGTGTAAAAAATTGTATTAAGGGAGTAAGTGATGAATATGTTGCTTGCAGAGAGAAACTTTCATATGCTGACCCAAAACATACAGAGCTGAAGGATTTTGGCCAGTATTAATCAAAATAAATACACGAAGATTTTCTCGCATTAATGACTATGCCCTCGTCATTCTCTTCTTTTTTTTGCATAAAATTTTAATTGCGTATGCTGCTATCTAGCTATGACGAAATATCAAAGAAAAGTACGTGATAGATGACTCAATATAAAGGAAGGGCACTCATGCCTCGGATTTCATATGCAAGTACCACTGCGAATTTTTTTCGAGCGAGAGTCGACGGATAAATATTTGGAGGAGGGTATCGAGTGAAGATACTGAGACTGGTATGGAGATGTGTTATTCCCTTCATTACGTTGTATCTATGTCCTTCAATGACTCTTTGCTCTACCCCTTAAGTAAAAACAATTAACAATTAATCTGTTGAAATAAAAGACCTGTTCAAAGCATCATAATTTAATGTTAGTATTTTAGTTACTGATCCGTGAAATCTATAATTTTTTAATTTATTGTCCTACTTATTAGAATGTATAACCCACTTCTTAACTCATGGACTTGTTGGTAGAGGGTAGCTCATGCAATAATAAAGGGTAAAGGGATGTCAATTCGACTACTCTTCTAAACACAGGTAACGGGCTCCTGGGTTGGATAGCGCAGTGGTACACCGCTCAGGCCGCTCTCCCAAGTAGAGTCTGGGTAGCTTGTACCTATACCTCATTTGAGACAGGAGAAAGCTGTTTAGAATCCAGTTAGACCATACACCACTTTCTATCGCGGTTATATTGCATTTGTGGGATGATGAAAGAATACTCGGATAACTGTAAGTTTTTCACGGTTTTCCCTGTGGTGGGTTTGCACGGAAGGGTTTATATGACGTAAGGCTTGACCTCGAGTGGTATCTGCAAATGAAATTTGAGTGTTCTAAACGTTAAGCTGAGTCATCCTACTTAAAGTACATATCTTCCGATAAAATCTAGGGGACGATTCTCAACGCCTGTCAGTGGTGACCCCTACGAACCTCCAGCTCTCATAGTAGAGTCTGCAGAGCCGAGATTGAGTAACAAAGTCCTCACTTCGACGAGGATTCCCAATCGCTTTCGCCGTCTGTACCGTCTTCATCTCTCAACATATTTCCCTATCACCATTATCGTCAAGCTAATAACGATCAGATCAAATGGTAGGGTCGGAGTCCTTCTCATCACCAACCCGTGATCATGGTGGAAAAGCCATCCGATGAGTTTCCGGATCGTACCCAGCACCCGATACGGAGATGGCGGATTGGATGAAGTCGGCCTCGACTGATACAAAGAAGGTAGATGTAGATGAGTATGCGCACCTCATGTGGACCCGGTGTCTAGGCCTCGCCTGGCTGGGGCTGCAGGTTTTTTGAGACTTTTTCCCGGGCACATAGTTTCCATTGCTACCATTTTTTTCTTTTTTTTGGGTAGAAGGTTCTGCGGAAAAAGTGGCTGAATTCCACGGGTAAATACCGAACTGAATGGCTATTTATCACGGGCAATATATCAACAATCTTTCAAGTAACAAGAGAGGATAGGAGCACTGTACAAGGTGTGGCCTGGGCCAGAGAGGAGCCCAATATGCTCGATAGTCATAGACTCAAGTAGCACAATAAACACACACACTCCAAGTGTCAAATATCTGCTCTCCCGCCTCTAGATTCGTATTGGGCAGTAAAAGCGATTCTCAATATGATATCATCCCACAACGTAATGGTCATAAGCATCTACCAACCTTTGAACCGACGTCATTGGCTGTGGTCAGCTGTTTAAATCGAGCCCGTAACGAGTTTCCCTTATCCTACGCTGCGATCCATGTCAAACTACTTGTAAATTAGGTGTAAAGTCCCTGGTAAAGTGAAACTTTCTATATTTAAATTGGAAGGCAGAGTGGCAGATAGCTGTTTTTTTACAAATCGGTCCTAAGCTAACCCCCTTTATCCACTATGGGTTAAGGATCGGTGGAGCCGGCAAGGTTCCCTGTAACTTTTCCTACAGTCTAAACTCGTTCCAACCTCGTGAATCGCTGCCAAAGGTGCAGCTGATTAAACAGAAACGAATAATCATGAAAATCAAAACAGCTCCGAAAGACAGAAGATTTCTTCGTATAAAACCCAAGAAATATAATTCTCGCACATTCCCTCGCCCGTCACACCTTCCAAATGACAAATTTACTCCAAGTCCATTGAAAGCAAGAGATGGGTTAGCAGGCACCTTTGATCCAGATGGTATCCTGCTATTTGTTTGTAGATACTTCCTAAAGAGACATTGTTGAGGTCGCTGTATCATCAAGCTTCTTCTTCAGATTCCAGCACTCCAAAACCTGTTGCCTCATCCATCGAGACATCCTTCGCCGTAGCGATGATCGCCTCTTCAGCCTTTTTGGCTGCAGCCCTAGCTCGTGCCACCTTCGCGAACTTCCCTTGCTCGATTTGGCGACGATGCTTGTGGATGATGGCCATTCCAGACTCGTCGAAAAGGCGGGAGTCCGCACGAGGGGTGGAATCCCGAGCAGACAGAGCTTGCCAATTTCTGTACAGCGCCACAGGACGGCATGTCCCACGAGGACGCACCTAGATTGGCAACTGTCGTGTTTTTCGGTAGATCTCCAATGAGATCTAATCAGCATTGACCGCATGATTACACTCGAGTTATCTTATGGTCGCTGGAATATTCGCGATCCGAAAAGCGAAAAGGTTGGAGGCTCCTTCGAGCTTGGCGTTGCAGTCCAACAATTTCGGTGCGGCGTCGAAGAGCATTTCCCTTGTATTTTCATCTGTTGTCAGAATCGCAAAGCCGGTTCTGACTCGGTTTATAGAGA